ATTCCGACTGTTGCTCTGACCACGGTCTCAAGGCTGCGTACGCCCCCCACCCTGTCTACCTCGACCGTGGATGGCAGTACGAACAGATCGAGGCTGCCTTCAATGGCGGTCGCGATGGCACGTCAGGTGGCCCTGGCAGCCCCTTCGATATTGAGAACGAGCACAACCACAAGGGCACTAGCTGGTACTTCAACTCTGAGTTTGCCGGACTTACATGGCGCCGCTGGCTCGGCTACGCCCAGATGGATGGCCGAACCAATCGCGCTGGTGAGGGAACGATGCGTGGTGGTCTCCAGGAGGAGTCCTCGGCGATGAGTTCCGGCCGCATGTGCTTGCGCAGCATGCTGGTGCATCCCATCAAGTTCGAGAACCCAGATGAGCGCTCATAGACGACCCGACAACACCGATAATTCAACCTTCGCTTCATACCCGACATGTCCCCCCCCCTCCATCGAGACGAGGGGGAGGGCTGTATATACAACAACAACCCATTTACCAACCTCACATATTCATCATGAGGGAGGTTTTAACTTCTAAGCGGAGCATGATCCATCCGTCGGCGGCGAAAGCGCACTGCATTTTATTGCTTGACACCACCGAAAAATCTGGGGCCTAGGGAGACCGTGGAACGAACGTGAGAGATGGACGCACCTGTCTGTATCCTTGTACTTATCGAGCGGCGGGAGCCAGCCGAAAGGGAGCGGCAGAGGGAGGATCAGGGGGGGTTTGACTCCGCATGTCGGACGCATTTGCATCGTGTTTCTTGAGGAAGGGGGCCACATGGCGGGACTCACTTCTTTTATTTTCATCTTTTCTTTTTCTTTTTGATTTAAACCAACGTGTTTCTGAATCTCATTCCTGGATGGAACGGCGTCGATGGAGGGGGTGGCATTCCAACACCAAATCGTCTTTATTCAAGTTTCATGTTTCGGCCCTCTTTTTAGAGCGAGGGGAGGCGATGAGGTGGTAGACAGACAGATGTAGAAGAATCAAAGCCGATAAATGAACTGGGGGCCTCTTGCATTTGTTGCTTCATGCCTGTTTGTGGTGCGCACCCGCTTTACATTAATCAATCAACCATGCAGCAAAGTGAGTGCATGCATGTAAACATGTGGATTTTGCTTTTCTTACGGCTTCATCTTTGAGTATAGGACAATCAAGGCAAAACCAGATCCCAAGCCCATGCGATACCCCTCTCTTAGGGTACCAAGTATATTTGTTTCTCCATTTCTCTGCTTCGATGAGCACTACTATAGGTAGAGTAGGTGGCAAGCAAGCAAGCAAGCAAGGGCGTAGGGCAACCCGAAGCCAAAGAGAACGACCAAGACGGGCAAGCAGGTCACTATCTCCCCTTTCTCCTTCTCCGAAAACAAAGCCTTCGCCCCTCTTTTCCACGCGCCCTTCACAGAAAGGAAAAAAAGACGCCCCGTGCAAAGATAAGCCGTGGGACA